CGACCTTCTTCACCTGAGAAAGAAGCCAAAGGGCCGATCATCGTGGCACCAGCGGCCTTGAAGGCGTCATGAAGTTCCTCTCAGTTGTCAAGTAACTAGGTTTCAGGGTTCGCAGGTTCAGGGTTAAGGGTTTGAAGGTTTTAGAGTTCAGGGTTTTGGGGTTTGCAGGGCTTTGCGCAAATGAAGCCTATAGTGGCTTACATTCCATGCTACATACCCGACCAAGCTGAGGGTAGCCCACTGCAGAGATATGTCCTCAATGCCGTCGCAGAAGTTGTCTGCGTAGCTCTGGGAATCGCCGCAGCCGAAGATGGCAACCTTCTTGCCGCTGAGGTCGGACTCCTTGATGGTGTCCAAATAATCATCCCAAGTTGTGCCAGATCGGTACCTAGATCGGCCATCAAGGGCAAGTTCATATTGCGTAAACTCGAACGGAAGGCATTTTTCACATTTAGGTATGCGCGTAACTCCAAATTTGTTCATCCTGCGTCTACTAAACCCTGCCCAAAAACCTCCACAAACAATAGTCGCTTCCCCCCAATATTAAACCCCCGCCTAATATCAAAGACGGGTTTGCCAGAATTCCAAATTCTGCAATCTGCCCCCAAGATTACTTTTAAAAGGGCCGAGACTAAAGTCAATTGCGGCTCGGATCCTCTGAATTAGGGGGGGGGCCCCTAGCACGGCTCTGACCGATTAGGGATCTCCTTGATTTCCTAGATGTTGATTGTTTTGGAATGGCTTTTATAAAGGAATTCATGTAGAAGAATTCCAGAAACAGATTCCAAGGCCCTAATGTGGAACAGTCTTTTGATTGGCCCTAAATTTGGACTAGTCCCTGATAAGGCCTAATTTGGAATAGTCCCTAATAAGGCCCTAATGTCAAATGGTCCCTAATAACGCGCTACTTTGAGATAGTCCCCAATAAAGCCCCAATTTGAAATGATCCCTAATAAGGCCCTAACTTGAAATAGTTCCTAACAAGGCCCGAATTCGAAATAGTCCCTAATAAGGCCCTAATGTCAAATAGTCCCTAATTAGGCCCTAATTTGAACTCGTCCCTAATAAGGCCCTAATTTCAAATAGTCCTTCAGGAGGCTTCAATTCGAAATAATCCCTAATAGGCCCTAATTTGAGACAGTCCCTAATAAAAGCTTAATTTGAAATAGTCCCTAATAAGGCCCTACTTTCCAATGGTCGCTGATGAGGCTCTCATTTGAAATAGTCCCCAATAAGGCCCTAATTTGAAATAGTCCCCAAAAAGGCCTCTTTGAAGAGTTAATCGAATTTTGTAAGACTTTAATAAGTATTTAATTACCCCCCCTCATGTTCGGGTCGTACGATAAATACCCCCCCCTTAGGAAGGGCGGGGGCCGTTCAACATTGGGGGGGAAAGGATTAGCCTTCAGAAGCTCCATTCGGCAGGAGACGCCTGCCCAAACAACATGTGAGAAACCACCAGCGTCTCAATGCAAAAACAAAATGGCCTTGGGTACCATGAACCATTGGGAATGTGCTAAAACTCTCTTACTTTCCGTATGTGGACTTCGGTGAAAGGAAGCCAAGATACTCGTCTGCTCCAGTGTTCCACGTGGGGCAGCCAGCAATGACTCCGTCAAGGTCAGCAAAATCTTCGCCATCGTAATCGGAAGCCTCCGACCCTGTCGCCTCGGCAATCTTGCTGGCTACGTCCTCCGTGTTGCCCGTCTGAGTGGCATAGAAGACTCCAATAGCGAAACGCGCGCAGCCCTTTCGCTGGGCACGTGCCCGCGTTGCCTGTAGCCCAGCAAAGGAGA